AGTTGTTTTGCAGCAATGACAGAACTGTGCATAAAAGATAAATAATTGCTTGTTCATTGGGGCTTTCTTGGATGGGGTTACCCAGGACAGGAGTCCCTTGCACTGTGCCCATTCTGATGCTGAGTATCTCAGTGGCACTCAACTTGGTTCGTTCAGTTCCTGCCCATGGTTAGTACTCCTAGGCACTGTAAGAATCTTGCATAGTTAGATGTAGCTTATGACTCTGTAAGGGCCCTTATCTAGTATGGGAGTGCAGGTTATGCTGGTATGTATGCAGCTTTTATGGCGTAGCTTTACCAGTTTAGCCACACTATCTCTTAGTGAGACAAGCCATGACTGTGTAACTGCGCTTAGGGCTTATGCCAGCATAGCTGTGTCAGTTATACCTCTGTGTATCCCTGGCTGATGCAACAACTCTGTTAGAAATAGTTTAGACAGCCACCTAGAGCTGAAGTTTCAAAATTCTTCTAAGTTGCCCTGAAGCAGTTCCAAAAGCAGCGTCACGTTCCTGCTGCAGCCTAGTCTTCTCTTCCCACTTTTGTGTTCCTCTTGCTGGCAATGCTTGTGGTGAACCATATCAGGGAGTTGGGTTAAAATGAAAGATAGTTTTAATTCAGCTGTTTGCTGTTCAGTTGTATGGACACTTGCGTGAAATCCTGCCGCCTCCTTAACATTGGTTCTGCCAGGACCAGAAGGAAAGTAAGACCGTGTCAGCTGTAAGTCTGACTTAAGTTACCGTGAAGTACAGTCTCCTATGTTCTTTTTGTGGAGTCATGTTCTAACAGCTGGATGTTAGGGACAGCGGGTATTTAGAAACCTTCAAGAAATTGCACTAAAACTTGGAGATGCTTCAGGACCAACTCTTGCAAAATGAAGATGTTTTTAATATTTGAGATGTTTTGTGTGCTGACAGGAAGAAAAAACCTAAGCCTTCTTTGTTCTTGTTTGTAAACATGTGTAATAATACAGAACTTCAAGGTTGATGCAGGTTTAGTCTTTAGTTAAGACATTTTATTGAGGAATCTGATTAAGATGCATTTAATAAGTAAAACAGTGATAAATATGTAAATTCTAGTTTGTCTATTACCAGTACTACAGAGTTCACACAGTATCTGTGTTTTTAGCTCCTTAGATATAATAAAGTACAAGTTATGTGTTAGTATATTGTTTAGTAAATGAAAAAAAAAATTAGTATGCAGAATAATCTGGCATATTTTTACTAAAACAGGCATAATTGCAGAAAGTACCTGTGAATACAGTGATATGAAATGGAATGTGAAATGTGGAAGAACTTCAAGACTGAAATTGATAGTAGGGTAAAAGATCATAGGAGTGTTTTAAGAAAATGCGCTGCTTTGCGTTGGCCTTCTCTTGTCTAGGAAAACAGCTCTTTAACATGCTTCAGACAGACTTGTTTTCTCTCTTCTCCTTGCCCTGCCCCAAACATTTGATTGTTTCACAGGTGAGCGTTGCTCTGTGCTTTGGAAGTCAGCAAGAGTGATCTCTGAGAATGCAAATGTGATCTGCTGATCTCAACTGGTAGTGCAGTGCGTACTGTACTTCATAGCCATGACTGGGGTAATTATGTGACATTTCTGCTTGTCATCTTAATAACAACAAGCTCGGGTTCTGGAGATGCACTTGATTCTGTCTTTCAAGCTTGAGTGAGTCTGAAGGAACACGAAGTATTGAACTATTCTCTCTTGCTTTGATAGCTCTTCATGACTACCAAATTTCCCATTTTGCTGCAGGACAGCATGCTGCACTTTGCTTCCTAGCAGGGTGATATATCCAGCTTTTTTGCTGTTTTCCCATTTCTTGCAAAGGAGTAAGCTAAGCAAATGCGACATAATTAACTAAAGTTAGCTACTCCAGAGTAACAGAGGATTAAGAAGGTAGGGTGTTGGTTTGTAAGGCCAAGGAGATGAGAGGGAGAGGCTGGTAGTTGACTTCTGAGACAGCAGCCTAAGAAATGAGCTTTTGTTAGGATCCTCTCTTTCTGGCATACCAGTGAAGGGAGGGAAAGCCCAATGGTTTGGACTAAGTTGGAAGAGTTATTGGTATTGTGGCAAGAGAGTGTAAGAAATGTCAGTTATGGCAAGACAAAATTACTTTGAATATTTATCCACAGATTTGCAAGGGGCTGGTAAATAGATTAATAATTAACTTCATTTTGGTTTTTACGTTATTAATCTAAATTTTTAATGGTGTAAACTGCTACTGAAAGATTGCAATTTTCTGGTCAACATTTATGTTGAGTTGGAATACTCATGGGTTTTTTGCAAAAATAATGTTACATGGATTTCATTATGATAGTGATCTTTTTCTATCAGTCTTTTTACATATGTGCATGTCAGATTTTGGTGTAGAGTAGGATGGTTGTGGTAGAATATAAAATGGGGGGAGGGTAAGAAGGGTTTTATAAGGCATTAGTAACCTTATAGTACCATAGATTAATTTTGCTAGCATGGCTTCAGAGTAGGGTAGAGTATTTCTTATATAATTTGGCTTATCAATTATTGAACCTTATAGCATCAGTATAAAATGTTTGTATGTTCAGAAGTACCTACTTTGCGTTTGTAAATCACAGCTGTGTTAAAACAGTACCGAAATTATGATTAGATTTTAGGTAGATTAAAAAGTCTTTATTGCCCATTTACCGCATAGAGGAATAAAAAAATAATTTAACAAATCTGTCTGAAAGATAAATAAAAAAGGACTTTTTTTGTTGGCGTGATTGGGAAATAAGTAGCTGTAGAAAACGTTTTGTTTTCAGTGGATGCCCTCACAAGCTAGTGGACTTTGTCCTTGGTTGAGAAAGTTCTGGAGAAGTTTTTCAAATTTATTCCTTAATCTTTGCTGAAATCTTGGCATGTACGTTCTTTAATACTTTTCCTTAATATGTGAGCTTCTAGTCTTAAAGCACTAAATGGATACAGTTTTAATACTAAGCTGCTTTTATTGCAACTAGACTTGTTTGTTTGCAGACATCACTTATAATTTATATGTATGTCTTTTCAGGTTAGGGTTTTTCTGTTGGTTTGGGGGGGGGGATTTAATATGTATAAGTTTCTAGACTTTTCTATTAGTTTTTTCTGTAAAAACAAAGTAAATTAACAGAAAATAGTAGTACTTTGTCCAGTGTAGAGTATGTTCCGCCTAAAATGGAGGAAAATCATGTTGCAGGACCTATGAAATCACAGGTTGGAGATAGCGAATTGCTCTATGGAATAGTGGGATTTTGTGGGTTAGCTTTTCTTTTTTAATGCACAGAGTTATTCAGAAGTAACCACTGGGCTTTAAACTCCAAATCTAATTCTTTTAAAAGTAGGGTGGGGTTTTTTGTGTGTTTTTTTTTCTTTTATAAATCCTTACTTACCATCTTGGCATTTATACCCAGTGATACTTGATGTGAATTTTGCGTGTGGTGTATGGATATTTAAGGTGAGACATACACTTAGAACATACAAGTAATAATTAATTTTGACGTTACTTTATTCTTTTTAAGAAAGTAATGTGCAGAATTGAAGCTATTAATACTGCTAATAAATCTAATTTCTTTTCCTTTTTCGTTCTAAGCACAACAGTTTAAAATGTAGTATGTATGCTAATGGGTGCATAGTGGAGAATTTGGCCTGTTAACATTTCTTTAGAGTAATTGTATTATGCAGGGATCAAAGGTCTAATGTTAAGGTAATGTCATGGGGAAGTAGAGCTAGTTGGTTCTGGAATAACTTGGAATAGATAATTTTTTTTTTTTTTTTGCAAATATAATAGTATTTTACATGTGGGAAAGAAATGTTTAGAACAGTGCAGTTTTTATCACCTTGTCTTAATTGCTTCTGTGAGGTCGATATGTTGTAGTTTTGTCTTGGCTTTCTTTTTAGCTCTTTATATTGAGAAGAAAAACTTTAATTTTTAAGAGTGGAGGTGCTGGACTGGTGAAGAGGATAATAGGCCGTGAAGAACATGTAAATTAAAGAGTTTTTTAAAGGCAGATTCGAGAAGAGAGGAGGAGGTGGTATCGAAGGCTCAGGAGAAAGGGGTAGCTTAACTGTGGAAAGAAGGCAGGCCCCTCTAATGAGAAACTCCTTGTTAAGGCCTGTAGACTATGGTGAATGAGAAGAGCTTGTTTTCAACTGAGAGTAATACTGCAAGGTCCAGAGCTGCTCTCTAAAAGTGTTTTAGTAGAAATGGAGAAGATGTATGTGATGAAGACTTCACAGTGGCAGAATTTACTCTTCGGAGTTTCTGCTGGACCGGATTGTGTGTTCTGTACAAGGAAAATATTCAGACAAAACACCAGACAGTCTAATTCTGGATTATCTTTTTTAAAGAGGAGGCAAGCAAAGACAAGTCAAAATATTATCAATCAGTAGCTACTGTGATAAATGTGATTGAGTGTCCAGTCTTTGGGAGATGTTCACAGAATAACTCTTGAAGGATTGATTCCTTTGGGTGTCTTTTTAGACATAAGGCTTTTGTGATGCATGATAATGCCTTATATGAATCTTTCACAACTTTTCTGTCTCATGCTTTTAGTTTAATCTCTACAAGGCAGAATAAAATTGGGTAAGCATGACTATAGCAATGCATAGAGTCTCAGCAGTTGGGATGGTCTAGAAGACAAATCTTTTGACTGGAGCCCTAGTGTGAAGCAGGGGTGCATTTAAGAGGAAGAAAAGGCTTTGCATAATCTGACTAGAATGCAAATTAAAAAGATGAGGGAGTAGCATCACGCATTATGTAATATGTTGCATTAACACTCCTTTCTCTTTTTTTTTTTTTTTTTTTTTTTCCCCCCCCACTCTTGATCAAAAGAATTTTCAGGTGTGATGATGGAAGTTCTGCTGGCACAGTGTTGAGCCTGTAGATTCCTAGAAAAGTATGGGTTTATTTTGGTGTTGGTTGAGTGTTTTCATGTTGGCAAGAAATATCAGTGGGAATTGTATTGTTACAGAATTCTAACTCTGAGATTACGGAAAGAAATGCTGCTAGCGATGGCATGGCTCGTATTTCAGGAATTGCTAGCCCAGTGGTCTAGTCGCCAAATTGTTATTGAATCAACAGGAGGTGATGATATTTCAGACTTAGTATGGAAGCATTTTGAGGTCTTTGTAGAAGAGCTGCTTCTGGAAAATGAACTTGTTTTGTGAGATCACAGGTTGATAAATAAGTTCTGTGCTGAGATCATTGGTGTCAGAGACGCACTTCTGGAGTACTGTGCTGTTGGTAACATTTAGAGACAGCTCAGATGATTATGGTGGAGGCTAGGCATTTATTCTGTTCGAGCTGCTAAAACGAAGTGATTTTATCCTGTGTTATCCTTATTAAGGGAAAATATTGTAGGAAAATACTCCATATTTAGTTGTATGAATACTCACTTCAGTACAGTTAAATATTAGTTACTGCTCCAGGGATGAGGGAAAAAGCAGGAATTGGCAAGGTCAAGCTAGTTGCGCCTCAAAAAGTCTATCAGAATAGCACGAAAAAGGTTCTTGAGTTGCGTAAATGAAAAACTGCGTTTGTTATATAGAAGGCATGGTAGAATTTAAGCAAAATTAAGTTAATCCTTACACTGAAACAGTGTAATATAGCCTGCCATTTTTCCTAAAGGTTCTGTGCAAAGCAGATAAAGGTATGGGGGATAGCTACCGCTGTAGTAATAAAATCAGTTGTCTCAAATAGTAGAACCAGAATCATTGACTCTTGAAAGAAACTGAGTTTAGCAATAGTGGGTTTGTTTGTTTGTTTTTCACCAAATTTATGAAGTCACAAAGGATTTGTTGTGGAAAAACAGCTAGTGTAATACTGATTGAAATTGAATATGAAGGTGACTATCCAAGCTGTTATAGCAGTGTGCAGGGCACTGAAAAAAAGTAAAATGCGAAGCAGAAAATTAAGCAAGCTGCAGCATGGGTTAACCATAGATTGTATCCTTGAAATTTATCCCTTTTGCTATTGCTTCAGTCCCGAAGATGAAAAGTTTCAGGTTTACTTGCAAAGAACAAGAACTGCTGGCAACTTTGAGCCTACCAGCTGATGTTGACAGGGGGAGAGCAGGAGAACCTGGATAGGTTTAACAATTGTGAGGCTGTGGAATGAGCTGCCAGTTGGAATAGTAAGAGCAAAGAACTTGAAAGAGTGATTGGAAAGCTTGCAAGAGGAATGTGATTGCTTGTGATTGAGTTTGAATTCAGAGAGGGAGTTTCTTTTAGTACCCGGCTCTTGGGGAGAGCTGTCTTGCTGGGACAATCTGTCCTGCTGCTGCTCAGTATTATGGAAACAAAGCTTTGAAAGAAAACTCTTCAGTTGCTTTCTGGTCAGGCAACTTAACATGAACAGTAGCAGGAAAGAAAATAAATCGAAAATATGTTTAGAAACATAATTTCATCAGTTCCTATAACTTCCTTTCTTTGATGTCTTAGCTAAGGTCATGAAAGACAACACAAGATTTGATGCTAAGCTTTAAATAAAAGGCCAGTTTATAGATACAAATTAGTAAATCTACTACTACATTTAGTATTTAATTGGCTTTTGATTTTGGAAGTGCATGCTTCGAATCTGTTTTTTGAAGTGCAGTACTTAGACTCAACTGTGCAGTTGCAAGTGCTGCCTCATTTGTGGGGGTTGAAGGCTTTTTAGTCAAGTTTTAAAAACAAATATGTGTAACTATAGATGTAAAAAGCTCCCAAATCACCATTGGATTAGTGTAGTAAAACTTTTAATTAGGGTCTTTTACATGGTGAAAATTAAATTTTGGTTTTTCTTTGTATCTGTGAACATCTCTTGTCAGATGAGCCTCCTCTTTGGTTGGGGGGACTGAATCTATAGAATATTTACAGGAAGGAAATACGGATAATCTCACAGCTGTTATTCAGTGAATTCTGCATCCTTGATGGTTCACATAGCTGGTAGATCCAAGAACCCATTGATGGCAGCCATCAGCTTTACCTGGCTTAACTCTTTTCTCATAGCAGTCAGCAGTCAGGTTTATTCTGAGGGAGAAGAGCAGCACAGCTGCGCGGGGCTTTTTGGTGTAGAACTAGTTGGAACAATTTTAAAGGATCTGGGAAGATGCCTTGAGTTTTTGGAAAAAATAACAGTGGATTTGTGAAATCTGCATTGCAGTCACTGAGCATGGTACACAGAAGCAGCAGAATGGACAAACTAGTAATTACTTACCTCTTAAAAACTTCATGGTATATCTTTATGAAAGGAGATTCTGCTTTGGATCCCCCCAAAAATGATACTGGCTGGAAGATTTGTATGAATTCCGCTAACGCTGCTCACTGGATCTGGAAAGCAGATTCAGTGGAACGAGTAGCTCTGGCTGAACACTTCTGAGAATCAGCTTCTGGAAAACATATGGTTTTTTTCAGTATCAAAACACAGTGTTTTTATTTTGTAGGCAAGTTGGTATGGGGTGTGAAAATGTTGAGGAGGTGACAATGAAATGCAAGTGTATAAATACATTGTACCTTACGCCCAAATATTAAAGATAAACATGATCTTGAGCAAGACTACAGTATTCTGTTTAGATCATTGTATTGTTTAAAAATAACAACACTCCATTTGGGGAAATCTTTCCGTATTCCAGTGAAACTGACAATCATGTCAATTATTAATAAAATTGCTCTAAACAAAAAAAAGCCCATGTGTAACTCGGTCAGTTTAATTCTGTAGTTTAAGATGTGTAGAATTAATAGCTGATTGGAAAGATCACAGTTGTCTTAAAATGCAATGAGCTTAAAACTATAGTAGTAGATATTATATTGTTGGGTTGCTTTGCTTATTGTAGTGATAGTGTAAATAATACTGAAATTTCTACTGCTTCACAAATAGTCTGTTTTTAATGAAGTAAATTTCTAACTGCAATATAGCTATTTAGGTTACTACATTTTTAAATTCTTAATTTTTTTATATAGATATATTTTTTAAAAAATACTATTCTAAAAATCTAAAATACCATATTTTGGGGAAAATCTGTATGTAAAATGCTTACTTATGATTCTTTGTTTCTCTGTTTATTTTTAAGACGAGCAAAAATCAAATTAAAGTAGATCTTGTAGATGAGAATTTTACAGAATTAAGAGGAGAAATAGCAGGACCTCCGGACACACCATATGAAGGCAAGTAATGTTTTTGTGTATGCAATCATTATACACTTCAAATCATGTGTCTTGAGATGCTTTATTTGTAAAATTTATGACATAAAAATGTAGAGCTGCGTGTTTTAACATAGTCTGATTTAAAAAAAAAAAATACAGATTTTAAGCTTGAAAAATATTTCAGTTCACCTTCTGTCTTGCCTGAGGGCAGATCTGTTCTACAGTAGGATAGACTATCCCATATCAAAAGTTAATTTACACGTATAAGCTGTGCAGTGATTGGTATAATTCTGACTTTAGTTGTTTGTTTACTGTCTTGACATGACCGTTCTTAGCCACGAAGCATCAAGAAACTGAACTTCAGAACGCAATCTAATTGTACGTGTATTTCTGTGATCTTATGTAGTGGTCATTCAAAAACATGCTGCATTTTTCTGTCTCAAGGAGTGATGCCATTGCAAGTTGAATTTGGGATTTATCTCATGCATCCATGGGTCCCAATACTTAACTTATACTGGAGTGAGAGGCTCTAAAGTAGAATTCATGTTTTCAAAAAGCGCACCTGACTTTCTCGTTTATTAAAGCTGGTATGATGCATCTCTTCAGTCTGAAAAAAAGCGAAATAACTTACTACATGTAGAAGTTTTACCCAGTAGCTAATATAGCAGACTTCATTAGAGGTACTAAATTACTCAATAGTGCTGGTACCTGTAAACTTCCTGTTTGTGTATAATAGACCTGGCAGGCACACCTTCTATTTAAGTTCCTTGATGATAAATGAGGGTTTTGGGTTGTAAATTTTCTCTCTATAATTTTTTTTTAATGTTTTATTCAGATTTTCCATGCCAGGTACCTACTTCAACCTGAATTTGAACTTCCAGTTAAAAAAAAGTCTCGAGGAATGTTACAAGCAAATAAATTGTTTTGTTGGAAATTAAAGCAATTTTCCAAGTTTTCAGTTGCTCTCGTTGCTCCATGCCTTGGAGCTAAGAGTGGGACTTGAGTATTCTCCAGAAACCAGACCTATGCCTATAGATACAGGAGTATATGCGTTTGGTGGCTGCTGATGGAAGTCTAGTTGTTGCATCTTCACTCAGGAGGACAGCCCTTGTGAGTGCTTCTCCAGGCTAGGAGGTGCTGGTGCACCAGCATTGGACTTGGGAACAGGGAGAGTTTCCCACCACCCGGTCTCCCCTGCTGGGACCCATAGCAGATAAAGGGTGAGGAAATGGCCTAGCAGAGGTTGACCAAATTGGGATGGGTAGATGGTGTTAGAAGTTGAGGAGAAAGGAAATGAGCCTGGAAGGGAGAGAACAGCAAAGAAGGAGCATCTGTAATGGTAAGGATGCTCTCCTCCAGAACTTGAGTCTCAGAGTTTCTCTGCTGTTTAGCATATAATGGCAGTTTTCTCCCCCTGCCTCCCATCCCTTCCACTCCCTCCTCTATCCTCATCTCATCAGCTGCTAGTATTTAGTTGAGAGAAAATGTTGTCTTGAAAGATGATAATTTCTTCTGGTTATAATATGTGCCATCAATTTAAAAGTATGCTGTGTACCTAAAATATGTAGTCATGCTTGTGACCTATTTGAGCGTGGACCATTCTGTATTAGTGTAATAGTTCTGTTGCAAATATAGTTGGTCTTGTAAAACCAAGTCTTACATACAGATGTTAAGATGTTGCAAAATAAGTAATTGGAAACCAGGAAACATCTGAATGGTGCAGGGAGGGGGGTGTTTTGGGGGGTTGTGTTTGTTTTTTTCCCATTCAGAGTTAATCCTCCTTGGCTGAGTTGGTTTGTCATGGCTTGTTTCCTTTTTTTTTTTTTTTTTTTTCTTTTTTTTTTTTTTTTTTCCCCCTCCAGGTCACATTACCTTGGCTAATAAAATGGAATTTTTTTTTTTTTTTTTTTTTAACATGCATTGGGAGTTATTTGAAATGAAAGATGTGTTCATCTGTCACAAAAGTTCATGAAGAGGGTAAAAAAAATGATTTCTGCCTGTCTGCAGGACTGGGTTCTGTGTGATGCTGGATAATTCGGCCAGACCAAAATTTCAAAGGCCAAGCACTGTGTATTCACGTATTCAGCATATCCTGCTAATGAAAATCAGCATTATGTGTTCAGTGTGGAATTTGTTGATGTGAAATGCAAGTGTGCATACTTACCTATGTATGAGCATATTTAATGATGAGAATATAGTAAATAGCCCTTTTGGGGGGCTAAAACTATCATGTATTCTGATTATGGCAGGGATCTCATGGAAAAATAGTGTGATTGTATGCTTACTTTAATCTGGAGGGCATATGCACCAAGGAGCAAAATGAAAGTTACTGGCAGCTCAGTTCCTGGTGTTTCCTGGCACTTGAATAATTTACAGTGGAACATTAATATTCCTGTAACATAATTTTATGCATTTATTCCCTGATGTAATTATGAAAGGCTTGCGAGTGCATGCAGTTTACATTTTATGACTAATGCAGTAATGCATGCTCCATATTACTGGCTGATCCCTGTCATCTGTGGTCTGAACAATGACACAGCAAGAAGTACTTTATGAAGGAAAGCTAATTAATGTGGTAGTTCAGGTCAGATAATTCTATGATACAGGAGGGAATTCTAGGACCATTGTGAAGTGACCACAGTTTGTAGGGTATCTGAAAACAAGCTGCTGTTGCAAAGTTCTTTATAGGTGATGTCAGGACATTGGTTAAGCATGACTGAGAGGAAGAATGGCATCTGTTGTTGGCAAATTGTGCAGCTTTTATTTTTCTGTCAGTTGTATCAACTCATATTGATCAATTATCAGAGTATTTTTGCAAGACAACTTCAATTGAAACATGTTTGCATCCCACATTAAAACATACATGTTTGGAGTGAGGACCTTTGAAAGTCTAGATTAATGGCTGCTGGGTTTTACTTGATTCAAGAGCTTTTCAATAGATAGATTTTTATTACTTGTTTTTCGAACCTTGTATAACCATGGTATTGATTTCAAGCCAAACTTGCATGTGAGCCACAGTAACTGCAAAATTTGTAATAGGGCACGTTTTAACTGTTTTTCATGAAGAAATACCCTGACTCTATTGTGAGATGTGTGCTCCAGTAGGAGTACAGAATGAATGTTCTGCCATTACTGTTTAATTCAATCTCAAGTATTAAATAGCTATGGAAGAGCCACACATATGCATACTCCTTGTTAAAAAAATTCTGCAGAAATATTGGCATGCAGAAGGCAGTGTGTTAGTAACTTGCTTTCTAAATGTAGTATTCAGGAAATTAATATCCAGAGTTGTTCAGTCTAAGTCTTCAAGCCTGTATTTTTAACCGTAAACTTCGCTGCACGACAACAATATTGTATAAATAATATTACCAATTCATTGGTCCCTGCAATTTTAAAATCTTTTAGACTTGTACATTCCAGGTGGAAAAAATTGTTGGCTGAATAGTGATCAGGTTAGACCTTAACTCTTATAATTCTATATTTATTGGGCTTTCTTCCGTTGTATTTTCTGTTAAATATTCTCAAGAGTGTAAAAATACCAAACTGATATTAACCAGTTTCAGGTGCAGTATATTAGACCGATTACATCTTAAATGTGAGAGGTGGTGTTAGCTGCTGAACTGCATTTTGGCACAGATAAGAAGGTGGCATAGACTATAACTGTTCAGAGTATTCCTTTGAGGGTGTGGTTTTTTGTTTGTTTGTGGGTTGGTTTTTTTTGTTTGTTTGTTTCTTGTTTTGCTTGCATGTGAATCTTGCAGCCTGTATTGGGGCTGCTTGAGAGCTGGTTTTGAATACAGTGATTTGCAACAGAGTAAATCACTCTTGAAATCCCAAAGGAAAGAGTTTGCAGATACTTCAAGGAAATTCATGGATTGTAACAAAGCGTATTAAAAGGTTTCTTTCTGAAAGAATAGCAAATGAGGAGAAATACTTTCAGGTTTTATAAAAACTAAATGTCTAAATTGGTGTGTATGTTTTGTTATGCTCTGTTCTTTTTGTCATTAAACTGCTGCCTGGCAAATGATCTTCAGTGGACAGGCAGTCTGAGATTGCTGTATAAGATGAAAGCATTGATAGTAAAATTGAATGTTAACAAAACTATAGTTGAAATAGACATAAGTAATGATACTATAACAGGGAGAGAAAACTGAGAAATGTTTAGGAAAGGGCAGTAGAATGTGGTTCTGTCTGCCAAGCTCATACTATCCTTTATTGCATGCTGTAATCCTGCAAACTGTCTTGTCAGTACTAGTGTGTCAAAGCATTTGCTGAATTGGAACAGAAGTTACTACTTCAGACAATAATATAGAACATAGTGGAAGTAACATTGGTGCCTCTGGTTAGTTGGTTTGTTTTTTTCTTCCTGTTTTTTTTTTTTCCCCCCAAGTTGTGGGAGCTTTTCTTAAATGACTTAGTTGAACATTCTCGAGTTCTAGAAAGCTTAAAATGAAACACAGTTCTTTTCAACTGTAATTTCAGGTGTAATTTGAAGAAGATTTATTGGCATAAGGTATCGGAAACGAGTCAAAATAATGTAATACCTCATGTTCAGCCTGAAGGTTCCTGTGGCCTATTGTTATATCTGTTTGGGGGATACTTGGTTCATATTTTGGTATATTACTAAAATGGAGCATGGAAATTACAACATTAGAAATTAGAAGCTACAGGAGAATATACACATTAATTATACATAAGAAATACAGATTCTGATTTGCATAAGCAAATATTACTTTATTATATTGACTTAAATGCATTTGTTTATAAAATATATGGAATTTAGAAGTATCTTCTAGCTAATGCATCCGAGTAAATTTGAATTACTTGAAAACCTGTCCATTTAGAAATGTAAGCTTTATTGTTATGTTCTTTTGTTTTGATTTCTAACTTGTTCTTTTGCAGGTGGAAGGTATCAATTAGAGATAAAAATTCCAGAAACGTATCCATTTAATCCTCCTAAGGTACTGTAAACAGTTTTTGGATATGTAATTCAGCTAACAACTTTGAGTATTCTTGTATATTTGCTTGTGTGTGTAGTCTCTTTGTAGCACCCATCTGTATTTTTTTAGTTCTCCTCCAGACAGGCACTGGAGCTGACATATTTAGGAAGAAATAATGCAGGATACATAACTACATCCAATCAGAAATCCACTCACGTTATTCCTTGAAGTACAAATGGGCAAATTCTGGGGAGGAGCTTGTACCTTATTATTGACCCTCATGTAATTTCTTAGTTTTCAGGTAGTTTTACTTGATGTAGAGAGTATGACTATCCTTCTCCTTTTCCCCTCCCGCCCCCATCATTGAAGAAATGCTGTCGTAGATAATTACTGATTCTTTTAATTTCTTGGGCTCCAAGAGTCTTGGGTCTAACCTACCCACGTTTCTACTAGTAATTAAATAGCGAGGTCCACAGCTGTGTGACTTGAAGACCCAACAGAGATATAGTGGCCTTACTGCAACTTTGTTGAGGGAATGCATAAAACATGCACATGGATGAGAGACAGAGGAATTAGTGTGGTAAAGTCACTCATACTTTTTTGCAACTTCCTGCCCTTTCAACTTTATTTTTCTAGCACTTTAAATTTGCAATTCCACTTCCCTCCTAAATGGATCAATCTGAATAAGTGTTCTCCCCAGCCATGTGCAGCTGTAACTGTGCATTTCTGTGCCCCGATTTAGTTCTTTCTTCAGTGGTTTCTGACATATTGGCAGACTCCTGAGTTGTCTGACTCAGTTTCTTGATTGGTTTTCTGTTTGTCTGAAAGGTGTCTTTGAACTAAGAACATGTCCTAGATATTGATAATTTTCACCGTGATGTGTAATACTTGGAGGGAACTGGGGAAGAGGAGGAAGGGAGAGGTGCCTGTAGCTCCTTGGCTCTTGTCCTTTGAATGATTTCCTTGAGGCTGGAGTGAAAGACACAGAAAATCTTAATGAAATGTCTGTTGGTTTCAGTTCTTTCATCTGCATGTGTTCTGTCGAGAGCTAAAATAAGGAGAGCTGAAATGGGTCGCAGACACTGAAAGATGAGTCTACGTACCGTGGTTTTAAATTGCTGCTTTAGGGCTTGCTGGCTTCCATTTCCAAAGTTTTTAGGCAGCTTCTAAGCAGCTCAGTGCACTGTAGCATAGTAGCGCTTATTCTGGAATCTGTAGTCTTGAATGGGAGGCCTTTTTGCTTGGGTCTAGCCCTGCCTTTCATCTAAAAGATTTCTTTATCTTGTTCAGTATGTGCTTTGACAGCCATTGTTAGCAGTCATTCACTGTGAGAAATTACCTAGTATTTATATGGCTTTTTACATTTTCAAAGTGATTTAGAGAGTTGAGCTAGTTAATAAGTGGCTCAGCTGACATGATCTCTTATTTTCTGTCCTGGAAAGCAGAACTGTTATGGTCTTACCTATTTATAGACCATGATTGCACTGATGTTACTATATCCCTGTATGTACAGTCTTTTGCTGTAGTGTCTGAAAAATAACATGTTCTCTGCACTGATTTGGTTGCAGATCAAGGGCAAAAGTTGAAAGTGACATATAAAAGGAGTTTGGGGTAAAGAGGTAGAGATGAGAGAGACAGGTCAGAGTCACTAGAAGGTAGTTAAAGTGCAACCTGAAATAAGGGCTTTGAAGAAAATGAAGGAGAAATATCTAAAGGCATATATATATATAAGCCTTTCAGAGGACAGCCTTGGGTTTTGAGACTTTCAGAAGAAAATGTTGCTCCTAACTTTCTTAGCATCTTTAAAAAATAAAAAACCAAAACCTAAACAAACAAACCCCCAAACAAAAGAAAAAAACTCAACCCAAACTGATTTTATTAGTGCTTTGTGAGCATGAATACACTTTATTTTAGTGTAAAAATATGGACAGGATCAATGAATGCATGCTGAGACTAGATTCTTTCAACAGTTAAGTAAAAGAATTGTAATCTAGTTAAGTTCTGGTTTCTTGAAAAGCTTTCTGCATATGGGTAATGAGGCTGGATGGTTGTAGAAGTAGTAGCACCCACCAAGGTATCAGGCTTTGTGTGATGCAGGATATGCACATGTGACAGCGTATGAGAAGGCAGTTAGGGGTGAGTTTGGTGTCCTCTGTCAAGTTCTGTTCTTGAGTAAAGCAAGGCTCTGTCTAACAAACAGCCTTGCAAACTTGAAGCCTCCTGAAATAAGTTGTATCACGTCTTGAGTTCTGGTTTTAGCTTGATATTTCCTAAATTAGTATTTTTTTATCTTATTTAAAATGTTTACTTAATATATGGCATTTAATAACTGGTTTTGTTTCTAAAAATTATCTCCTAGGTGCGGTTTATCACCAAAATATGGCATCCTAATATTAGCTCAGTCACTGGGGCCATTTGTTTGGATATTCTGAAAGATCAATGGTAAGATTCCATATGGATTTAAATGTGCAGAATCAAATACACTGGTGTCCTGGGTAGGCGGCAACAGCTCATGTTGCTTTTCACTTTGCATTTGTAATTTGAGATGTCCTTAAACCTTACAATACTTCGGTACAGTATTGTAAGTTGAAAAGATGCAAATGAAATGATTGGGTGCTAATTTGGAAAGCACTAAGTAGATATTATATGCACAGACAGCTTTTCCAAAAAATTTTACACGAGGGTTATGGTGAATGTTTCATTGTTGTTGATGTTTTGGGTGGGTTTGTAGGTATTAAAATTTTTAGTTAGCATTTGTTAATGGAAGAGAACTATCTATTGCCTCCTAAATTTTGTCCTTTCAGCCTCCTGAAGTGTAAGCAGAAAAAAACCCAAGTGCTTATCTTCACTCTGATTCTTGGCTTCTACTTCAAATAAAAATTAGTTCTGGTAGAGCTAAAACAATATATGAAGTAAGTCTGGGAGTATAAAAGGTAACAGGTCAGCAATTGGAAAGGGAGAAGAGACTGACTGTACTGATTCTGTCTCATTGTTGATAATATTGATGATTTGTACCTCTGTAAACCGTTTGTGTTTGATTAATGTTACTGAAAAAGCGTTAGTGGCCCAAGTCTGTGGAATAGACCTGTGAGTGTGCAACCTGTAACAGCTGAACTCATTGTTCATTTGTTTTACCAAGTAATACATTTCATGTGGTTTGAAGATCATTTGTACCAATTGTATGATAGACATGATACCTGACATGAATGGAATAAGCTTTGTTATTTTCCTCCATGTCTGCCCCAGAAGAATAGGACTGTAATTCCCCAGCAGATAGTATCTAATCTGTACAAGCTTCCAATGTTCTTAAAGTCAACAACTTCATCAAGACTGCTGTTCTCCAGGCAGAAGTCAGTTGGGTTTGAAAGAGCAGAACGCTTGAGTTGAGGTCTTGAAGGTTGCACATTGAGCATATTCATCTTTTACAGTGAGAAGATTATGCAAATCATATGGCTCAAGAAACTATAAATTACTAAAATGAAATAATGATCATGTTGTCTTTTTCGTTTCTGGAACTGTGAATTTTTTCTTACAGTCTCAGAGCACTTGATGTTCTTTGAGGCAGTAGAATCTTTCAACATAAGCGCCGTGATACATGGTATAATTTTCCTATCAGTAAAGCCAGTGCCTGTACCTAGTTATTCATACCACCCTGTAATTATACTGGCGATTAATGACTCTTTAGCTGTGCAAGTTAGAGTTTCCTGAGAAATTGAACAATACACCAGATGGGCATGAAAGAGCTGAGGGTGAAAGGGCATGAGGTTGGCTGGTTGGTTTGTGTGTTGGGATTGTTTTTATTTTTGTTCCTTTGGGCTCGGGTTGTCTTAGGTGGGTTTTTTTGTTTTTGTTTTGGGTGGGGTTTTTTTGTTGTTTTTTTGGTGGGGTTTTGTTTTGTTTTGTTTTTTGTGTGGGTTGGTTTTTTGGTGGGTTTTGTTTGTTTTGTGGGGGTTTTTTTTTGTGTTTAGCAAAACAGATTTTGGAGGGTGTTTTTAATGGGGATCGCTTCACTAATTTGCCCTATAGCACATAAACCTGCTTTCCCAGCTAGGCTTACTTAACTTGAGACAAGGTTTATGTAGTGAGCGTATGGGGAGGCAAAATTCTTTATTTCTGGAAGCGAAGATGGTTAACATGGAACTCCCTCTTGGTGTCGTTAATACTGTCGTAGGAAGAATTTATCCAAAGTTTTTAAGCTCAGGATTTGTTTTGTTTTTTCTTCCGTCTTTTGGTACTCCTTTATGCACTGTCTATATGATTTACTAACAGTATCAAGGAATATGACTTTCAACACGTATCTCCAAGGCTAATCTTTCCATATTGAAGCCCCTAAACATCATGTTTCTCAAAAACAACACTTATTTAACATTTTTTCCCTGGAAGCTTTGAGGAAAGACAGTCCGTAGCAGAAGTCATGCTTATTTAGGTCATTTACAGATTGTGAATTAAAACTGAATTAATGGCTTTTTTTTTTCCTTTCACATTTTCTTGTTATCTTGGTATTACTTTAATACATTCCCCAGTTAGTGTTTTCTGTGGAGAAGGATAGATAATCTTGCTTATGTAGCAAAGGAGTGGGATTCAGGAGACCGCATTTTTCTTTCCAGCTCTGGAACAGGTTTTCTGTTGTCTTTTCAGAATTGCCAAACATTGTGACATTTTGTGACAGTCTCACAAAATTCAATCTTAACCCAAACCTGCTGCTTTAAGGGTGAAGTAGTTAATAGCTTTAAGAGGAAAGTTTCTGGCCTTTTCAGTGGCTGGTTCAGCTAAAAATACCAGAAGGCAACAAAGAGCTAAAATCACGAGCTTCAGCTGATTGTTTGGGTTTTTTTCTTGTCAAAACTATCGAGATTTGGAAAGGAAGAATAGGAGAGAGGATTTGACTTGTGTTCTTGTAGTCTTTGAAAGTTGGGTCTTGCACAGAAAACTTAATCTGTGTTTCAGTTCTGCCTGATGGGGGTGGGGTGGAAGGGAAGCCAAATCACAGAAGACATTCATCTTCTTTCACCAAGATGTAGATGAAATAGGAGTATTGGAGCAAGAACTTGCCTTCTGTGTATTTAAACTGGCTGGCACAGGGAGCACCAATATTATGCCATGTATGTATTTTTAAACTCTTCCTTTGAAACACTTTCTTCACGTGGAAGCACTAAGGAAAGAATTTCACAGAACTTGGTGAACAGGAGGCTTATTTCTTAGTTCTTAATGTATTATAGGAGGAGGCTTAATTCTGTAATTCTTAATGTAGTGATCCCTTCACTTTCTAGTGGTGCTCTTTCTAAGTTTTGTTTCTTAATCATGAAATGGTTAATGAAAATTACTCTAGCATTGTTGAAGTGCTTGTCAAGGCCTCTGGTCCTTTGGAATAGAGGAAACTTGTGGCTGCCTCCTTTCTTGTTTGAAGGATTTCAGTGTTGTGATAGGGAAGACTTTTTTTGTTGTTGTTGTTGTTTTGTTGGGGTTTTTTTTCCCCTCTGGTTAGCTTCCTAAAACTTCCTAACCCATATAAATGGTTAATATTATTAAAAGTAATTGCTTATTGTTCTTCAGTATATGCTGTTTTAGTTATTTAACTGAGAAATGCACATATCACCGTGTTTAAGATTTCTGCATGTATAACAATGGCTTGAATAAAATGATACTTTCATTAGAAAGCAAACAAACTCGAGCAACGTCTGCCCAACCTTGATAATTTCATATTTAATTGATTTCACAGGTATTCAAAGGTAAATGGGACAAACGAAATTCCAAAATACTCTGATGGCTGTGTTCTAGAAAATATATTTAGTTCCACAGTCTGTCTTGCCAAATCTTTTAATAACAAGCTCTGTTTCTGAAGTGCCACTTCATTGACTTGTAATGCTCTTAACTGAATAATGCTGCTCTTGTTACTGTGTTGAAATGTAAGTCTCAAATTCCAGTGCATAGCCGTGTTTTTCAGTGAGGTCAGTGGGAGTTGGAGGACAGAATTTGGGCATATGGGACTTCATAGGGTTTCTTAGAGTAAGTAAACTAATAAAATATTTATTTATGGTGAATACACAAACTTTATTGTGTTTGTATAGTTAAAAAAAGTCTCTTTGCTACTCATCTATTCTATGATAATGATTTTCTATTGAGCATAGTTGAGGTATTCTTCTGCATATTGGCAGGAGGTTTTATCAGTTTGCAAAGTATTGTCTTTAAATGATTTTTAACGAGTTCAATGAAATCCTTTCTCCACAGTATAAGCTTGATGCTGAAATTCTTTGCAGCTGTGGATTTTCATCATGTTTAGATTTGTAAATACCTGTTACACCAGTTTCTTTGCAAAGCAGCTACTACTTACTGGTAGAATTAAAATAGGTGTATGATTTTGTAAAAGGAATACTGTTTATTCTGATCTGATCTGACTTTTGTTATGTGGTTTCACTTACTGTGGCCTATATTTATCTTCCAGGCTAGTATTCTATCTCAGTGTTTTATTCTCAAATATAAAATGTATCTAACACTGTTCATTGAAACCCAGTAGCTAAATTACTTGAAAGCTGCTCTGCATAAATCCTTTGAGCAGTGATTATCAAGTGAATGTGTTGTGGCTGCCTGTATGGCTACAAAAACCTCTTGGCTGTTCTGGGTTTGACAGTTGAAATAAAAATGAGTAATCAGAATATTTCATAGTGGCTTTACTGGAGGATTCACACTCCGTATTTGTTGAGATGCAGAAATCATTACTGTAAGAGATGATACAGTTTTAATAGATACATGAGCAATAGCCAGCTTGTAGTAATAATCTTCTTGGACTCATTTATATATGGTGACACCTAAAACTGCCAGGTTTTGTTCAGGGTGTTTGAGGAGCACTGAGCCTCCTTACAGCTCTGAGCAAAGTGCTGAGAATATTAACATTGTTTGAGGGAACTATTCAGCAAGCAGGCAGGCTTTTTGCCCTTGCACTACGTCAAAGCTATTCTATTATTCTCTATTTTTTCTTTCCCTAACGGGTGCCCAGTCTTGTATTTCTCCTGTAAATAGTGACTATACAATGGGTTTCCACTCAAAGGCCTTATTCATTTCTTCCCTCCTTCCAGATTCCATAAGCCCTTGGTACAAGTTCCCAGAGCTTTTCTTTTGGATTAACAAACTTGGTTATTTCACAAATGGAATAAATATAGCAGGTTATTTTTTTAAATAATAATAAACGTTGCCAGTAGCCATGTTTGGTTGACAGAGTGGGGCAGCAATCTGCTGGCTGCAGCTGTTCATGTGTTCTGCTGGGTTACCTCTCAGAGTAACCAGAGATTGTGTCCAGGGAGGAATGTACAGAACATAAGTAAAAACTTCCTAAATGGAAAATTACTTACCCTTTAAAAATGAGGAAGAGAAACTGGCAGTGTTTCATAATCCTCTTAGGACTCTTTCAGCTCATCAAAAGGTAAGAGATTTCTTACCTCAGGCAT